CTCTCCAACCTCATCCCCTAAAGGGAATTTAATCTTCATGCAATAAGTGGAAATGGCTGCCTGGAATGAATTCAAGCTAGGTCGCCCCAGTATGATGTTGTAGGCCGAGCTAGCATCCACGACCAAGAAGCGAACCATCTTCACCTTTCTCAAAGGTGACCTTCCCAATGCCACCTTCAAACTAACTTCGCCTACGGGGTGAACCTCACTACCGCTGAAGCCATAGAGAGCAGTGCGGACCAGCTCGACCTTCACTTCTAACTCCATCTATTGCAAGCACTTCAAGAAAATGATGTCTGCCGAGCTCCCCGTGTCTATGAGCACCATTTGCACATCGTAACTGGCCACCTCCGCAGTGATGACCAAAGCGTCATTATGTGGGACAACGAGTACCTGCACATCATCAGCTCCAAACTTCAGAGTGGCCGAACTCCTCTGCACCTGCACCTCAGCCACCTCATTGGCCACACCCTTTCCCCGGTAGGTCCTCATCCTCTCCATGTGCGAGTCTCCATTCGTAGGACCTCCCGCGATCATGTGTATTATGCCCTTCTTAACTGGTCTGTCAGGTTGCTCATCCGTCCTTCTCCGCTTATCACCCGACTCTCGCCCCTCTGGACGATCATCCTGGCGCTCTCTATCCTTGATCACGAACTCCTTTAGGTGACCGGCCCTCATGAGCCGCTCAATTTCATCCTTTAACTCCCGACAAAAATTGGTAGAGTGGCCAAAATCACGGTGGTACCGACAATACCTGTCCTTCGACGCCGAAAACTTCCGTGGTGGGGGCAGAGGTTTTGGCTGTGCGAGAAACTTGTCCTCCCTCACTTTTCTATCGTCTCCAAGATCTTCTGCTGTGGCGCATTGAGTTGTTTGTAATGCTCGTACCTTGGCCCCCTGAACCGATCCTCGACCCTAGACTCCTTGGGTGCAGCTCGTCGATCACCCTGTCGAGGCTTCTTTTTTACCTGCTTAGTCTTTGCCTTGTCATTCCGGAGAAAGTCTGCCTCTGATTCCTCCATGTTCACATATTTGCTACACCTCTCAAGTAGATCATCAAAGGACCTCGCCGGCCTCTTCGCCAACGAATCTCTGCACTTCCCAGGCCTCAATCCCCGCGTAAGGTTTCCAGCTTTTATCTCTTCTGAGGCAGAGGGGACCTCCACGCATTCCTTAGTGTACCGCGCTACATATTGCCACAAGGTCTCCCCCTCCTTCTACTGCATATTAATCAACGAGAGGTATGTCTTCTCGTGCTTCATGGCACTTTCAAACTGATTCAGAAACAAGGAGCTCAACTTTTCAAAGCAGTCGATAGATCCCACCGGCAACTGGTGGAACCAATCTTGCGCCGACCCCTTCAAGGTCGTCAAAAAGGCTCGGCAGCTCACAACATCACTATACCTATGCAGCACGGCTATGTTGTCAAATGATCTCAAGTGCCTAGCTGGGTCCACCGACCCATCATAGGACAAACTCAACTCCCTGAAGTTGCTAGGAAAATCCCCTCCCAAGACATCCTCTGCAAAAGGGTGCCCTCGCGAAACTACAGGTCTCTTACCCTGTACCCGAGCTTGAAGTTTCTGCATTTGAGCTGCCAACCTTTCCAAAGTTAACTCATCTGGTTGTGTCGTTGCCACCGGGCGGGAGGTCACCGACCTGGCATCATCCTCGTCGCCCCTCTCCACGCGCTGGTGCTGCTGATGCAAGAGGACCTGTTGTTGAGGTGCTAGTGGCTGCCGTGGCGGAAGTTGTCGAAACGACTCATTAGGAGTTCTCTTATCCACCTCTTGAGCCCGGCCTATCGCCTCAGCAATGATCTTGTCCAACTCCGACCTGGTCATCTATATAACCGGGTCCTCCTGTGGTGCCGAACAAACATTATCCCCCGGACGGTTTTGTGCTCCTACCATGACCAACTGCCTACTACCAAGGGCACCACTCTGATCACCTGCACCTCTGGATCCCAAAACACCTTGATTCACCCCCCCATCAACCGTGGTACCAGCCTCCTTCCATTTGTCCGCCCTATTACACGATCCTCCTGGGTTCGCCGAGTGCCCCTAAGCCTCTGGTAGTGGCGAAGGGCTCGCATTTGGGGCCAACGACGTCTCTTTAGGGGTGACAGACGATGGTGACCATCCTGGTGGGGGACCTGTCCCGAAGGCCCTCCGAGCCCACTCTACATCCATCTCCTTCGTTAGGTTCTTCTTTGAGTTATCTCTTGCCATGGTTCTTGTTCTATGCTTCTATGGTGAGAAAAAACAGCCTTTAATGCTCCGGTAGAAGACTGATTTTCCCCACATAGGGCGCCAATTTGTTATACCAGAAACACTTGAACCGCTGGATCGCTCCTCTCCGAACCGAGTTATGTCTCCTTGATCGTCGGTACCTGCAAAGCACGCCGGGGGTGGTCCCGGAGCGAACACTCCGACGCTCAAGTCAATGAGGTTCCAAAGAGAAAACGGCAGAGTAACGAGAGAATTTGTATGCGTGTGTCTAACATGCAGGCTCGAGCAGGTGCTCGAGTCGATACTGCTATTTATTTACCTTTATATTTGTCACGTCTAGCATTTTCGACTAAGCTCTTATTAGCTTGTATTTTACTCATGCAGAGGGATTTTTTCCAAAGCCCAACTTCAAAAAATCCGCGGAGAAGGGATCCGGGAGCACAAACTCCTCGAGCGGGACTGATAAGGCTAGGCACAACTCCTCGACCAAGGAGGCTTCGGCCAAAGGCGCGCCCTCCAAGTCCGGGGTTCCCCCCCCCCCCCTCCTCGAATAAACAAAGGGCCTCTTCTTCTCCTCATAAGCCATCCAACCGTCACCCCGACCCCTCAACCAAAGAAAGTGACGTTTCCAAAAAGCGTCCTCGTTCTGAGGTGTCTATCTCTTCGCCTTCCAGGCAGGCCGTCGATCACCCCAGGTCTCCCAGCAAGCATCTCCATACCGCAGAGAAGTCTGCTGGGGGACCGCTCGTTCAACAGCCTTCTCACTCTCCCTCCTTGGTGGGGACCGACCCCCGCACGGCCATCTCGCGCTTGATTGGTCTCTTGCCCTTCGAGGATACTCATTGTTGGGTAGTCGACCGTCGGGCTCAAGGCGAATATGCTGCTCGCGCCTTAATTTAGGTATGCTTATCTGCGACTATACTCTTCCCACCTTTGATCCATAACTCCTTCTACCTCCGCTTGTTTTTTTACTTGTGTTTCTTGTGCAGACCGTCGTCTCCGTCGCTCCCCTGCTCGAGGAGACCTTGAACAACTGTGGCCGTCCACTCCCCGTGATCGAGAGCGATAACAAGCGTCTCGACACGGCGTATGAGCAGCTTAAGGTCGAGAACCAGGAGCTGCTCATGGTGCGCCACGACCTAGCCGAGCAGGTGAAGAAGGTTGATGAGGAAGTGCGCCGCCTCAAGGACGAGCTGAAAAAGATAGATAAAATCCTTGAGGCGGAAAGAGGCAGTAGGAAGAAGGAGGTCGAGGCTTCTGTCATTACTGCCGTGAAGCAATCCCAACGGGCTTGTGGGGCTCTCAGCGTGGTCAGAGCTTCCTCAAGGCTTACCGAGAGCAGTTGATCGACGACTACCTCCGCTCGACAGCCTTCCTCAAAGAGGCTTCGGCTATAGGGATCGACTTCTATACTTATAGTATGGAAGAGGTCGAGCGGCAATTGCTGGAGCAAGGGTTCGCTGGCGAGCTTAATCATGATAAAACCTGGGACACTATCCCGTCCGCGCCGTCGAATTTCCTGGGCGATCCCAACCTTCCCGCTGAGCACCCTTGGTGGTCAGAGTCACTGGAGCGAGCTTTGGGAGGGGACAAGACTTTGCAATATTATTTCGACGTCCCTAAGCCTGGCGAAACTCCACTGGTCCGTCTCTCCGGCCACATTCTTCCTTCGCCCTTGACTACCAGCGCTCCTTCTTCTTCTTCAAGTCCCTCCACTTCAGCTCTTGCTCAATCCACTGCTGCCACTATCCTGTCGACCGTAGCCACGCAGTCAACCACTATAATTAGTTATTCTATTATTGTGGACCCTATAATTAGTTAGACCTAATTGAATTAATAATCAAACTTAATTAAGGCGAATATGTATTTAATAGATTATAATGCTCTAATATTAAAGAGTCAAAATTTGTGATGTTTGACTTAGACAATAAGTGAGGTTACAATATGGGGAATGTTAGTAGGATTAGGATTGTATGTCTCCTCCTATATATATCCTACTACATGTCCCTCTCTCTGGGCTCATACGAAATAAAGTTCTTAACATCAAGGTCTTTATGAAATGACGAGAGACGCAGGAGAGAGAAACAATTCATAGACAAAGACTAAGCCTATGTTTGGTAGAACTAGCTGATAAGCTAGCTGATAGCTGATAAACTAGCTTATAGCTTATATGTAATTTTTGAGCTTATAGCTTATAGCTTATGACTTATAGCTGAAAAGCTAGCTTATATGGTAAAAGTGTTTGGTAAAATTAGCTGATAAACTAGCTGGAATAAAAAATTCAACTAGCTTATTTGAAAAGCTACCTAAACAAGCTTATCAAATAAGCTCGAGCTTTTTATATATGCTCGTCCTACCAAACAGGGCTTATTTGAATACAAGAAGCTTATAAGCTAACCAAATAAGCTATAAGCTAGCTTATTTGGTTTACCAAACATAGCCTAACTCATCATTCAAGATTATGAGAAAGAGAATTAAAAGAGTGTCGGTCGTAAATCAACATCATAGATCAAGAAAACAAGAAAGGATTATAAGCTGGACTCTTGTATGTTCTATGTGCAATTTAATTTATGCAAAGATTAATTATCATTTCACCTTGGTAAAACAAAATGTGCTTTGCTATAACAAAAATATTTAGGCATACAAACAAAGTAAGACCAACGAAAACACACTAATCAATTAATCAGCATAATATATTCACGCATTAATTAATTAATTAATTAAGGCAACATTAATTATTAAAAAAAGAAAAGAAAAGCAATGAGTTAGTTAATCGATGTTGGTGTCAAGGCGCGAGCCCATCATCATCATGACCTTGAATTCGTCAAAACAGATGACCCCATTCCCATCGGCATCGACGCCGCTGATCATTTTGCGGCACTCGGCCAATGTGCACTCCTCCCCAAGGCTGTGCAGCACATCTTGCAGCTCCTCGGCCGAGATGGACCCATCCCCATCTGCGTCAAACACCTCAAACGCATCCTGCAGGTTCTCGTCGTGGCCCACGTCTTTTGTATTCAGCTCAATGAACTCCTTCAGACTGATGAATCCATCCCCGTCAGCGTCCACCTCGCGGATCATGCTCGCTAGCTCCTCGTCTGTGGCCGGCTGCCCCAGCCCACCCATGATCGACCCGAGCTCCGAGGCCGAGATCTTGCCATCTCCGTTAACGTCAAACTTCTTGAACACCTGCTCAAGCTCCTCCTCGATCTGTGCCCGTGATGATGCCCCATTCCGAGACGGGCACCGGTGGCGGGACGAGGGGATGCGCAGATCCATTCGCTCTTTCTTCTTCCGATTCAACAGTTCCTTCAATCCCATTCTTTTTATCTTTTATTTTTATTTTTTTAGTTTGGGCGTTTTTATTTTGACTGGATTTATGGTTGTGTTTGTATATTTTGTGATGCAAAATTTCATGGTCATAAACCTAATTAGCGCGAGAGAAAAGGGCAATGTGTTTGTTGTTGAATGGTAGAAGAAATACCAAGTCATTTTGTTCCCTTTTTTGCAACATTATTATTATATTGTTTTAAGAAAAAAAAAAAATAAGAGATACTACTAAATAAAAACAACTCTTGTGTGATATAATTAGCCGTGGCAAAATGATGATCCCCTCTTATTAAAAAATATTTTGTACATGAATTACGCTTGTACTAGAAAATTTGATGGTGCAACACCTCAGCGGAGGAAGTGGAGCAGCGATTGAGGGCTTTCTTTCTATTTTCGGTGGAGAATGTGGTTATTGATTTAGGGAGGGATGATATGAAGACAATTATTTATAAAAAAATGCCATAAATGTTTATTTCGGAAAATCATAGGAGATAAGAAAGCGAATTCACAGGGATCAAGAAGGCAATGTGGCTAATTTGGAGACTAAAGAGCTCGCTGGAAGTTCGAGAATTAGGTATCAACTTTCTTCAATTCATCTTTAAACACAAGGAGGATTTAAGGAAAGTCGCAGTGGGTACCAATTGGATCTTTAAATATCAGTTTTTTATCCTGACCTCGAAATTTTAATATATTATTAATTAGTGTCTTTATTTATTTTTGTACATAAATCTATCATAAATGAGATATATAATTTATAAATTTATTATTTCTTGTCCACCAAGTCAAATCTTACGATTAGAAAAGAGATTAGTCTTAAGATAAGGAAAGATATTATATCAAATCAAGAAGGACCAATCAAACTGATATCTTATTCTATAAAACTCTCTCTCTCTCTCTCTCTCTCTCTCTCTCTCTCTCTCTCTCTCTCTCTCTCTCTCCTATACCTATATAAATAGGACTCTTCTCAAATTCACAAATCACACCTTAAAAATCAACAACTCATAAATCAAAACCTCAAATTCAAGAGTTTTCAAAAATCCCTCTGAAGATCCAAGGACATTAAAGTTGAAGGTCGGTGCTCAATCCGCAACCAAGCATCCAAACCGCTGAAGTATGTTCAATGAAGAAGAAGTCTAAAAAAAGAAAAAGCGGCGGCGACTCTTCCCAAGAAATAAAGAGACAACATCCACGCCTCTCAAATCATATCAACGACGTTCAAATTCATATAAGCCGCGTTCGTCGAAAAGTGCAACCAACATAGCGTTTGATTTTGAAAAAAGCTATCAAACTCTAGAGTCAACATTATTTAAGTCAAAATCCACCTTTCAAGAAGATCAAAGAAATAAGTCCTGCAATAAGTCGTCTTCAAACAAGTCAAGTCATAACATTTAATACTGGAATAGTCATTCGACCCCAAAATTAATGTTAGAGAAATTCAAGATCAAGCCCGAAAGAGTACCAATGGTCAAATCCATCTTTGAAGATCTCAAGCCCAAATCCAAGAAAAAAAGAATCAGAGGAGACATATAGAGATTGTACCCGCAATATCGTTTGATCGAAATATATTCAATTTGTACAAAAGGTTTATGATTATCATAAAATTATTGTTACAAATTTATCACACCCAGTGAGACATTCTCTACCTCTCATCTCTTGTTTTCACACCTAATTCGAAGATCTTTGAAGATGCATGAAGACCTCTTTGAAAAAAACTGTACAAGGGGACAACTAAGGATGATGTCTCCTCAAGCCATGAAATCTTCATTCGAATGGAGGAGAAACAAAACCGGTCTTCCATATACTTCTCAAATTCCACAGGGACAATTTACATGGAATGCTCCATCAAAGCCTCAAATTCAAATGCTCCTTGATATGATCCTAAACTATCTACTTATTCAAATGTTCCTTGATATGAGCTTAAATTATCTACATATTGCAAGGCTCTATGATATGAGCCTAAACTATCTACAAATTAAATCAAATCAAGAACTCTTTGATACAAGTATGAACTATCTGTCAAATCAAATCAAGTCAAATCAGGGAATTCTCGATACTATCTCTCAAATCTAATAAAGAAATCCTTGATACGAGTATAAAGTATCTCTGAAATCAAATCAGATCAAGATTTCCTAGACACGAGAATAAAAGGTCTACATATCAAATCTCCTTGACACGAGAATAAAAGGTCTACAAGTCAAATATGAAGCTCCTTGACACGAGCATAAAATATCTACATATCAAGATCTCCTTCACACTCGACTAAAAGGTTTACATATCAAATCTCACTGACACGAGAATAAAAGGTCTACAAGAGAAATATGAAGCTCCTTGACACGAGCATAAAATGTCTACATATGAAAATCTCCTTAACATGAAAATAAAAGGTCTACATATCAAGTACTTATTGACACAAGAATAAAAGGTCTACATATCAAGATCTTCTTGATACGAGTTTTAACTATCTATCTACAAATAAAGTCAAATTAAGACTTCCTTGATACAAGCATAAACTATATGTCGAATCAAATCAAGTCTCTTTGATGCAAGTTTAAACTATCTACAAATCAAGTCAAATGAAGAACTCCTTGATAGGAGTTTAAACTATCCACAAACTCAAGTCGAAGAACTCCTAGATAAGAGTCTAAACTATTTGCATGTCCAAACTGTTAGAGGTATGCTGTAAAAGCTCCATTTTGCATACTCTAGCAATTCCATTTTAATCTGGCCATCATGTTTTGGTCAAAGTACATATGCTTGAAGTTTATTTATTTATGCAATCATACTCCTTGTCTTAAATTGAGATAGTGTGGTTCGAAGTGTTTCGAACGGAAAGATCACCTATCGGTTCCTTGTAAGACTAAACTATTTGTTCACAGTCTAGACAGACAGTGAGACCCTTCTTTTTTTTTTTTTAACTAAGTGAGACCCTTCTTGGACAAAGATTGTAGTGTATTCTTGATTCAGTTGATCTTTGACTGGAGAATTACACTAGTGGTGTTATTTGACATAGTGGTAACCCCCAACTCCGGAGGTATTCCATGATCAAACTCGGCAACGGGAATCGCAACCCCGATCTCAAACTCTCAGTGAATATGCCAACGCAACCTGGAGGAGGACTTGTTATTCTCTCCCCGGGGTAGGGCGCAAAAATTTTTACCGAGGGCGGAATACGGACTTGATCTCGGAGCATCACCACATCAGCATCAGTTAAAATACTCGGCTCACCTTCAAAATCAACCGTCGGGTCAGGCCATGTCCTCACCGGTCTTCTCTAGTGAGGTTCCTCAACTTCGGCCGCACTCCCCTCCACTACGCAGTCACCATCCTCGTCGTTTGGCTTGATGTCCAAGTGCCTCACCAGCATCGGATCCCATCGATGGTATTCAAAGGCTAACTCGACCAATTCCAAATCATGGTACACCTCTAACGGGACCGAATCTGTAATAGAAGAACTCGCCACCGCCTTACCCTTTCCCTTCGACGCCATCGAATAAAAGAAAATTAAGGTACAATGGAAAAGCAAAAATCGACAATGAAGCTTACCAAAAAAATGAATGAGCAGACACTCGTGCACCAAGAACAGATCTCAAATTTGCAGAAGAATAACAATAACAGTACGTAAGAATTTGAAGATGAATGCAAAAGTGAAGAAAGTCCGATTGCAAATTGTGAAAGCCCTATTTATAATTTCTGATTTCTGACCATTGGGGACCTCAATTAGGGGCGCGTGCAACCGACGCGACCCCTAATTTCAAGCGGTGCCATCTCTTCGACTGAAAAATAACCTACTGTACACGTGGCACCCTATTAAAAACGACTGTTATTTCATTCAAGACCATTACGGCGCGACCCTTCACACTATGCATTAAATCGCCGACCATTATGTCTTTTCAGATTCTTCTTACTGTCCAGATGTATAACAGATTTTCACCAAGTGTTCTCACCTCGGAAACCAGATCCCACTTCGGAGCACACGATCCACTTCGGTCACCTCGCACATATCGGAATATCGAGGACAAGCATTTCCAGCCTCCAGTTTTCGTACCGATTCGAAGCCTTTAATTGTTTTGCAATATCGACGACCATCACTCCGTATGCCCACCGACCGACTCGGTAATTCACTGTTATGAGCCTTAAACAACGTCTTAGGCAACTTAATATCTTCACCGACATGGTCTGAAGTCACCCCGGTTCATATGACAAACCGGCATAACCACAGAAGACCGAAGTGATCACTACCAGCCGAGGACACCCCAACCGAAATCAATATGAACCGAGGTTGTCACCTCCTAAGCAGGTGACAAGGCGCCTACACGCCATTCTCACAAACTACGAGATCTGTTGGGACCCACTGATCCTGTCGCCCACCAAAAAGTAGCTTTATAGAGAAAACAATGCACGAATCCCGATATGTATCTCAAAAAGTTGCTATAAATAGCGAGTCCATAATACTTGTACGGGATTCGATTTTTCTGAACCGAACTCTTTTATGATGTAACAGGAAACGGCTCACAGAAGCTTTTCACCTCTGTTCACCTCAGACCGAGGCCATTGTTGAGAATTTCATATATACTTTACGTTCAAATCACTAATAATCATCAAGCAAACCTATCTTCAGATCGTTGTTAATAATCGCATAACAATAACTAGCACTTATGATAGTAATGTGGTCGATAGTAGCGGCTCATGAAGGACCGGTTGTGACCCGGGTTCTAGTCGCACTTGGCTGGATGGTTCAATCTGGTAGGCATAGCCCATGGTACCTTGGGAGTACATGGGTGGTAGGCGGAGGTTCTGGTAGGCGGAGGCTCTGGTAGGCGTAGTCCATGGTACCTTTGGGTACATGGGTGGTAGGCGGAGGCTAGCTCAATGTGGGCTAGGCAGGACACCTTGGCACCTAGGTAGCTGGACGTCCCGCTGAGGGGACCAGGGCCTAGAGGTGGCATCGTGCTCGAGTCATGAAGAGGTTTGTAACCTCAAGGACTCTTAGG